GATGGTATAACCTTGTATTGCTACTGCTGTATCAAAGGAATTATCTAAGTGAGTTTCAGAGATGGCAAGTATAAGAATGTTATCCGACGGCAGCAAGTAATTGATTTCATTAACCTTATTTCTAAGGCTACATATATTAATATGGGCTATTCTTAGCCCTTTACTGGGTAGCTTATCAGAGTTTATATGTAAAACAAAAATAATTATATGTAAAACAAAAATAAAAACATTGTTTAGCTAATTATCAGCCAATCAGGCACTTTTGAGTGTCAGTTGGTGAATGTATGTGTGTACAGTATATGTGATGTTGGGATGAAATTACTGAAACGGAAGCTTGGCTTGCTCACTCCTCCCAGGCTTTTGGGAGGGAGGGTGGACTAGGAGCTTGTCTTAGCAGATGTACACTGTAAGCAATGTCCCCCACGCAATCTGTCAGCTTTCATAGCTGGGACTTCAGAGAAGTCCTCGTTGAGGAAGATGTTGGTTTCTCTAAAGTTCCTGGCTCTCTCCAGAACAACCATCTTGTCCTTAAACCTTAGGAACTTGACCACTATCGGCCTGGGTCTGTCACCTGACCACTATCGGCCTGGGTCTGTCACCTGACCACTATCGGCCTGGGTCTGTCACCTGACCACTATCGGCCTGGGTCTGTCACCTGACCACTATCGGCCTGGGTCTGTCACCTGACCACTATCGGCCTGGGTCTGTCACCTGACCACTATCGGCCTGGGTCTGTCACCTGGGCTCATTACAGGCTTTCCAGACCACCTCAGCCTTCCTATGATCCATCGTTTTTCTCACTTTGTCCTCAGACTCCATCCAGGTCTCATGTGGAGACTGGTATGCCATCCATAACAATGTTATTCCTCCTGGATTGTCCCTCTAGATAGTCTGTTTTCCCAGTCATCTGTAATAATTATTCGCAGACAGTGCTGTCATCTCACGTGGACTTACAGTTTACATTTACATTTTAGTCATTTAGCAGACACTCTTATCCAGAGCGACTTACAGTTAGTGAGTGAATACATTTTCATCCTGGCCCCCCGTGATGTTGTCATCTTGCTACAAGTCTCTTTCATGATATCCACCTCTCCCTGTGAGAACTGCAAACTGTTCATAAGGTCTTGAACCTCTCTGGTCAGATGTTCCGATGCTGGGACTTGTAGTCATCTGTAATAATAATCCACCTCTCCCCGGAGAACTACAAACGGACCTCTCTGGTCAGATGGTCCATTCTTCTGTTAGTTGAATCCACCAGTATTTGGACAAGGCTCTTGAAGCTGTTTTCCTGTTGCTTGTAGACATCTTGTTCCGGTGAGAGTGAAACCCTGTCACTCCATTACTCCAGCCTTCTTTAACTCTGGCCGACAGGATGGTAGCAACGTAGGCTAACGCTGGTACTCCACGCAATTCCAGCCAGCACAGGTGGCAGGGCCGATCAGTAGAATGTTTCGTCTATGGTACTAGGTAGCGTCCCCGATCTCCACACATACACGTTTGATATTACTATCCTTGTGGGGACCTAGAATAGATTTCCATTCTAAATCAAATGTTCCCTAAACCCCTAACCCTAAACCTAAACCCCTAACCCTAAAATAGTCTCTGTCATTGTGGGGACGTGAGAGATGTCCTGACGAGGGAGAATGTACCTTGTGGGGACTTGTGGGGATATCAGGTAATACCCACGAGGACTGTAATACAAGCCCCCACACACACGCACGCACGCACGCACACACACGCACACACACACACACACACACTGCCCCAATCTCATCTGTCAGGATTATTATATTATATTACTATACCAAGCTACAACCCTGACACAACGTTATGAAACAATCGTCTTACGTAATAGTCTGAAAGAAATGTAGGTTTCTGTAGGCTATCGTTCCCTACACACACACACACACACACACACACACACACACACACACACACAACCGCCGTTCTATCCCATCACATCCCCTCAACTCCACACACACACACTCATATGACAACATATTAATATGAATAAACACACACTCTCTCTCTCTCTCTCACACACACAAACCCTCCATCCCAGCACCAGCACTCTGGATTAGGGATAGAGATTAGAGATTAGGGCCAGCGGTGGGATTATATGGTCCTCTGATGCCTCGCCCCTAATCTAAATCACAACCCTCTCCCTATACTGGACTAACACTGGTTGAATCAACGTTGTTGCCACGTCATTTCATTGAAATTACGTTGAACCAATGTGGAATAGACATCGAATTGACTTCTGTGCCCAGTGGGTCTATCTATATCACTGGGCATCTACCCTCTCTTTGTGTGTGTGTGTGTGTGTGTGTGTGTGTGTGTGTGTGTGTGTGTGTGTGTGTGTGTGTGTGTGTGTGTGTGTCTTTATTTTTCATCCTAAACAACCCAACGGATAGATTCAACCACACATTACTTGTCAGATTGTCCAGGAGGTGTTAAAGCTGTGATCACGATGGGGCGGCAGGTATCTTAGTGGTTAAGAGCGATGTGCCAGTAACCGAAAGGTTGCTGGTTCTAATCCCCGAGCCGCCTAGGTGAAAAAACTGTTGATGTGCCCTTGAGCAAGGTACTTAACCCTAATTGCTCTGGATAAGAGCGTCTGCTAAATGACTAAAAATGTAATCAAACTCTAAGGCATTTTTTTTTGTTAGGTAGGTGCCCTTTATTCCTGAGGAAAACACAGAGAATGAAATCATCTTGAAAAAGAAAGTGCAATGATTCTTCATCCTGGTCCTGGGGACCCAAAGGAGTGCTTGTTTTTGTTGTTACCTTACACACCTTATTAAAATCATCAAAGCTTGATGATGAGTTGATAATTTGAATCAGCTTTGCTGATCTAGGGCAAAAACAACAATGTGCACCCCTTTGTGTCCCCAGGACCAGGATGAAGGAACTCTGATCTAGTGTATAGGGGAAGTGATTTGGGACTGAGCTTCTGAGTTTTGTACTTTGTTTATAAGTGGCATCACTGTGACATCATAGTGTTCTCTATGTCCTCCAGTGATGGCTAAAGAGGCCAGCTGCTAAGGGACTGAGACTGTTCTTCATTAGAGAGAAAGACAGACGGACAGTTCACTGCTTTAGGGACAAACAGACAGACGGACAGTTCACTGCTTTAGGGACAAACAGACAGACGGACAGTTCACTGCTTTAGGGACAAACAGACAGACGGACAGTTCACTGCTTTAGGGACAAACAGACAGACGGACAGTTCACTGCTTTAGGGACAAACAGACAGACGGACAGTTCACTGCTTTAGGGACAAACAGACAGACTGACAGTTTACTTCTTTAGGGACAGACAGACGGACAGTTTACTTCTTTAGGGACAGACAGACGGACAGTTTACTGCTTTAGGGACAAACAGACTGACGGACAGTTTACTTCTTTAGGGACAGACAGACAGACAGTTTACTGCTTTAGGGACAAAGACATACTTTTCACTGCTTTAGGGACAGACGGACTGACAGACAGTTCACGTCTTTAGGGACAGACAGACGGACAGTTTACTGCTTTAGGGACAGACGGACAGTTCACTGCTTTAGGGACAGACAGACTGACAGTTCACTGCTTTAGGGACAGACAGACAGTTCACTGCTTTAGGGACAGACAGACTGACAGTTCACTGCTTTAGGGACAGACGGACAGTTCACTGCTTTAGGGACAGACTGACAGTTCACTGCTTTAGGGACAGACAGACGGACAGTTCACTGCTTTAGGGACAGACAGACAGTTCACTGCTTTAGGGACAGACAGACTGACAGTTCACTGCTTTAGGGACAGACTGACAGTTCACTGCTTTAGGGACAGACAGACGGACAGTTCACTGCTTTAGAGACAGACTGTTCACGTCTTTAGGGACAGACAGACTGACAGTTCACGTCTTTAGGGACAGAGACAGTTCACTGCTTTAGGGACAGACAGACTGACAGTTCACTGCTTTAGGGACAGACTGACAGTTCACTGCTTTAGGGACAAACAGACGGACAGTTTACTGCTTTAGGGACAGACAGACTGACAGTTCACTGCTTTAGGGACAGAGACAGAGAAGAAAGTCTGTTCAGACATTTGAATCTTCATCTGAGAGAAGCTTAGTTTCTGTTGACAACTGTGTCACTGACTGACTGCACTGGGAGGAAGTTATCCAATGAGAACTGTGTCGCTGACTGCACTGGGAGGAAGTTATCCAATGAGAACTGTGTCGCTGACTGCACTGGGAGGAAGTTATCCAATGAGAACTGTGTCACTGACTGCACTGGGAGGAAGTTATCCAATGAGAACTGTGTCACTGACTGACTGCACTGGGAGGAAGTTATCCAATGAGAACTGTGTCGCTGACTGCACTGGGAGGAAGTTATCCAATGAGAACTGTTTCACTGACACTGCACTGGGAGGAAGTTATCCCTAGATACTGGAAGGAAGTTGCCCTGGCCTAGATAATGATCTAATATCAATTTAGAGTTTTACCATCCTCATGGCTTAGCTTAGGATTGGAGTAAGGGAAACTGATCAGTGGTGTCGGAGGAGAAAGGGTTAGGATCGAGGCTTTCTAACCTATGAGACCAGGGGCTTACTGACGTGATCCCAAGATTGAGGGTCAATAGAATTACAATACATTAGAATTCTAGATAGAAATAGAATTCCAATTCTATGGGTGGATCGAGTCCTTTGGGTGATGATGTCACAGCTTGTTCCTTTTCAATCCGGGGACTTCAAACTCCTGGATAGAGAGAAAAGGTTGGGTTTGGCTCATTATCACTGACTCAGTGTGCACAACGAATGCTACAGAAATGAAATGACTCACTTGCACATTTGCTGTGTGCAAGATTTATAAAGTGCATTTCTATCAGAGACACTGTCTGAACTTTTCACTTTACTCACTGTCTGTTTTAAATGAGTTGATTGACACGGCAATGCTTGTTCTTCATTGGTAGATGTGTTGATTGACAATGTAATGTTTGTCTCTGATAGGTGGATGCCGCCATGCCATTTGGGTGCCTTGCCCTGCGAGATGGGCGGAACTTAGACAACATCTCTGATGTCACCGACAAGTACGAGATTGGACAGGTCCTCAAAGCGTAAGCACCATGTAATACTATAGACACCATAGACATTAGTAGAGGGTTGGCCACGCCAGCCACCCTTGCAATAGGCTAAGGGCTATTGGTGTCCCAAATGGCACCCTATTCCCTATATAGTGCACTACTTTTGACCAGATCCCTATGGGCCCTTGTCAAAAGTAGTGCACTACATTTGGGACGTAGTCTAAATGTAACGGAATTCACCTCCATACAGTGCATTCGGAAAGTACTCAGCCCCCTTTACTTTTTCCACATTTTGTTACATTTACATTTTACATTTTAGTCATTTAGCAGACGCTCTTATCCAGAGCGACTTACAGTTAGTGAGTGCATACATGTTTTTTTGTTTGTTTTGTTTTTTGTCATACCGGCCCCCCGTTGGAAACGAACCCACATCCCTGCCGGCCAAACCCTCTCATACCTTGGACGACGCTGGACCAATTGTGCGCCGCCCATGGGCGTTACAGTATTATTCTAAAATTGATAAAATTGTTTTTTTCCCCTCATCAATCTACACACAATACCCCATAATGACAAAGCAAAAACAGCTTTTTATAAATGTTTGCAAATTTATTAAAAACAAAAAACTGAAATATCAAATTTACATAAATATTCAGACCCTTCCAACTTACTTTGTTGAAGCACCTTTGGCAGCGATTACAGCCTCGAGTCTTCTTGGGTATGACACTACGCCTGTATTTGGGGAGTTTCTCCCATTCTTCTCTGCAGATCCTCTCAAGCTCTGTCAGGTTGGATGGGGAGCGTTGCTGCACAGCTATTTTCAGGTCTCTCCAGAGATGTTCGATCAGGTTCAAGTCCAGGCTCTGGCTGGGCCACTCAAGGACATTCAGAGACTTGTCCCGAAGCCACTCCTGCGTTGTCTTTGCTGTGTGCTTAGGGTCGTTGTCCTGTTGGAAGGTAAACCTTCGCCCCAGTCTGAGGTCCTGAGCAGTCTGGAGCAGGTTTTCATCAAGGATCTCTCTGTACTGTGCTCCGTTCATCTTTCCCTCGATCCTGACTAGTCTCCCAGTCCCTGTCGCTGAAAAACATCCCCACAGCATGATGCTGCCACCACCATGCTTCACCATAGGGATGGTGCCAGGTTTCCTCCAGACATGAAGCTTGGCAAACTCCAAGTGGGCTGACATGTGCCTTTTACTGAGGAGTAGCTTCCGTCTGGCCACTCTACCATAAAGGACTAATTGCTGGAGTACTGCAGAGATGGTTGTCCTTCTGGAAGGTTCTCCAATCTCCACAGAGGAACTATGGAGCTCTGTCAGAGTGACCATCAGGTTCTTGGTCACCTCCCTGACCAAGGTACTTCTCCCCCGATTGCTCAGTTTGGCTGGGCGGCCAGCTCTAGGAAGAGTCTTGGTGGTTCCAAACGTCTTGGGGACCTTCAATGCTGCAGAAATGTTTTGGTACCCTTCCCTAGATCTGTGCCTCGACCCAATCCTGTCTCGGAGCTCTACGGACAATTCCATCGACCTCATGGCTTGGTTTCTGCTCTGACATGCACTGTCAACTGTGGGACCTTATATAGACAGGTGTGTGCCTTTCCAAATCATGTCCAATCAATTTAATTTACCACAGATGGACTCCAATCAAGTTGTAGAAACATCTCAAGGATGATCAATGGAAACAGGATGCACCTGAGCTCAATTTCGAGTCTCATAACAAAGGGTCTGAATACTTATGTAAATACGGTATTTCTGTTTTTTTTGCTAAAAATTATAAAAACCTGTTTTCGCTTTGTCATTATGGGGTATTGTGTGTAGATTGATGAGGAAATGTTTTTATTTCATACATTTTAGAATAAGGCTGTAAAGAAAACAAAATGTGGAAAAAATTCAAGGGGTCTGAAACTTTCCGAATGCACTGTATGCAGCAGCTGTTCCTCAAACAGTGTTTCATTTCATTTAGTTTCCCAGTTCCTCCCCCCCCCCCTCCCCTCCTCTCTCCTCCCCCCTCCCCTCCTCTCTCCTCCCCCCCTCCCCCTCCTCTCTCCTCCCCCCTCCCCTCCTCTCTCCTCCCCCCTCCCCTCCTCTCTCCTCCCTCCTCCCCTCCTCTCTCCTCCCCCCTCCCCTCCTCTCTCCTCCCCCCTCCACTCCTCTCTCCCCCCCCCCTCCCCTCCTCTCTCCTCCCCCCCTCCCCTCCTCTCTCCTCTCTCCTCCCCCCTCCCCTCCTCTCTCCTCCCCCCTCCCCTCCTCTCTCCTCCCCCCTCCCCTCCTCTCTCCTCTACCCTGTAGTTCTGGACTCCTCTTCTGTAAATTAACTGAACTAGGTAGGACATGCTGTCAGAAAGCTGTGAGAATCTGATGCCTGCTGCACTGACCGGCTTATGACCGACACACAGCTCAGTGTGCTGCCATATGGCAACACCAACATCTGGACTTTTATATAACACACACACACACACACGTACTGCACACACACACACACACACACACACACACACACACACACACACACACACACACACACACACACACACACACACTGCACACACACACACTGCACACACACACACACACACACACACACATACTGCACACACACACACACACACTGCACACACACACACACAGACACACACACACATACTACACACACACACACACTGCACACACACACACAGACACACACACACACACAAAAACACACACACATACATGCTACACACACACACACACTGCGCACACACACACTGCACACACACACACACACACACACTGCACACACACACACACACACACATACAGTGGGGAGAACAAGTATTTGATACACTGCCGATTTTGCAGGTTTTTCTACTTACAAAGCATGTAGAGGTCTGTAATTTTTATCATAGGTACACTTCAACTGTGAGAGACGGAATCTAAAATAAAAATCCAGAAAATCACATTGTATGATTTGTAAGTAATTAATTTGCATTTTATTGCATTACATTCCATTACATGAAATCCAAATAAAAATTCAGGTTGTAATGCAACAAAATAGGAAAGATGCCAAGGGGGATGAATACTTTTGCAAGGCACTGTATGTTATATAGTGACTATTTCAATAACAACTATTGAAACATTTCTGAACACTGGAGCTATAAGTAGGGAGATTTTTTGTTGTTGTTGGTATTTTACCCCCTTTTTCGAGGCATCCAATTGGTAGTTACAGTCTTGTCCCATCGAGAGGCAAAGGTCGAGAGTTGTGCATCCTCCGAAACACAACCCAACCGAGCCTCACTGCTTCTTGACACAGTGCCCGCTTAACCTGGAAGCCAGCCGCCCCAATGTGCCGGAGGAAACACCATACACCTGCAGACCGAGTCTTCATGCACTGCGCCCGGCCCACCACAGGAGTCGCTAGTGCGCGATGGGACAAGAACATCCCTGCCCCATGTGTCTCCCGGTCGCGGCCGGCTGCGACAGAGCCTGGATTCGAACCAGGATCTCTAGTGGCACAGCTAGCACTGCGATGCAGTGCCTTAGACCACTGCGCCACTCGGGAGGCCCTTACAGGGAGAATTCTGAACACTGGAGCTATAAGCATACAGGGAGAAGATTTCACCAAATATGTTTTATACAGTCATTATGTGTCAGGTAAAGGGGAAACCATATGTTCATATTCTGTAAACCAAGGGTTGATTAGTGACATCATGTGATGTTGGCATGGAGACAGGAACTAACACACGTCTTTCTGCTCCTTTGTGGGTGTGGTTGATTTGTGGGTGTGGTTGATTTGTGGGTGTGGTTGATTTGTGGGTGTGGTTTAAGGCTGTTGTGTGTCTCAGAGATGAATCCTAACGTCTCTCATTAACAGTTAAGTTAGGATTTGCCCGTCAGTGTTTAGTAATAGTGTTTAGGACCGCGGTGTGTCTCCTGAATCCTGACTTCCACTTAAGTTTCCTAGTAATATTAATGCAATGGAAGTCAGGATTCGTCCGTCAGTATTTAGGATGTATTGTTTAGTATTTTATCTCAGGTGTATAGTATTCCCTGTAGAGTGTAGATTGTTATTGTGTATCTCTCTCAGGGCAGTAGCAGAGTTGAAGCCACTTTTCAACCTCATGTTCATCATCTCCAGCACCATACATGTGTGAAAACGGGGCGTTTCTGTGGTTAGAAAGATCGGATTTTCTGCCGGAAATCACTAAATCACTGGACCTTTACCACCGGATCATCGCAACAAGCTATCTGCAACCAAATGGATGTTGTTGTTGGCTAATCAGCCTTGAGCTAGCCTCGAGTCAGGCACATCTCCTGGCTATCTACCTCTCTGTCAACCGGACGGGACCTCCTAGGGTCGACACGGAGCCCCGCCCATCCATCACGACTGGTCTGCCGACGTAATCGTCTGTGGTTTCAACAGGCTTCCCGTTGCGACGACCACGAAGATCCATCTGCTAGCCCCGGTCCGCTAGCACACGCAAACAACAGCCGTGCTTCCTGCTCGCTGTGCTGTAGCATCAATTCGAACTGCTCTCGGACTCACATATTGCTGTTCACTGGACCTTATGATCACTCAGCTGCACAGCTAATACCTGCTGGACTGTTCCTTTACACGGTACACCATCCTGTTTATCTGTTTAGCCTCAGCCCAAACCTTCGTCGCCATTACCAGTTGTTGTCTTAGCTCTCTCTAATAACACCTGTGATTGCTTTATGCCTCTCTCCCATGTCAATATGCCTTGCCTATTGCTGTTCCAGTTAGTTCTTATTATACAATTTCACTGTAGAACCCCTAGTCCCTCTCAAACTGCCTCAAATAGCTCCTTTGTTCCACCCCCCATACACGCAGAGGCCGGCTCAATCGGTGCCTCCAGTGATGCTATCTCTTTCATTGTTACCCAACGCTTAGGTTTACCTCCACTGTACTCATATCCTTCCATATCCTTGTCTGTACATAATGCCCTGAATCTATTCTACAACGGCCGGAAATCTGCCCCCTTTATTCTATGTACCCAACGCACTAGAAGACCAGTTCTTAAAGCCTTTAGCCGTATCCTTATTCTAGTCCTCCTCTGTTCCTCTGGTGATGTAGAGGTTAACCCAGGCCCTGCAGCCCCCAGTATCACTCCTACTCCCCAGGAGCTATCCTTTGTTGACTTCTGTAACCGTATGTAGTAACTTGACAAGGAATGCCCACACGCATTTCAATATTACTTTCCTTTACTTTCAACCCAATAAATAGAAGGTACCAAAACAGCAGAACGATGCAGCCCACTCAACCTGTGGTAGAATCACATTGTGCAGATCTGACTCTTGGTGATGACATCATCAAAGGGGAAAAGGTCACGGTCAATGCCAATAATAACCATGCACACATGAATAGCAATCATACTATACTGCAGGCAAGTTACAACACATATTCAATGTAATTATTTATATAGCGTCCACACTATAACACCGTAAAAGCCTTGTTTTTCTGCACGTTAAAATCAGAAGCCTCCTCCCCAAGTTTGAGTTATTCACTGCGTTAGCACACTCCGCCAACTCTGATGTTCTAGCAGTGTCTGAATCCTGGCTTGGGAAGGCCACCAAAAATGCTCCAACTACAACATTTTCCGTCTAGATAGAATTGCCAAAGGGGGCGGAGTTGCAATCTACTGTAGAGATAGCCTGCAGAGCTCTATCATACTATCCAGGTCTGTGCCCAAAACAGTTTGAGCTTCTACTTCTAAAAATCCACCTTTCCAGAAATAAGACCACCCCTCATCACTGTCAAACGCTCCCTAAAACACTTTAGCGAGCAGGCCTTCCTAATTGACCTGGCCCAGGTATCCTGGATGGATATCGATCTCATTCCGTCAGTAGAGGATGCCTGGTTGTTCTTTAAAAGTGCTTTCCTCTCAATCTTAAATAAGCATTCCCCATTCAAAAAATTCAGAACTAAGAACAGATATAGCCCCTGGATCTCCTCAGACTTGACTGCCCTTGACCAGCACAAAAACATCCTGTGGCGTACTGCATTAGCATCGAATAGCCCCCGCGATATGCAACTTTTCAGGGAAGTCAAGAACCAATATACACAAGCAGTTAGGAAAGCAAAGGTTATCTTTTTCGAACAGAAATTTGAATGCTGTAGCACTAACTCCAAAAAGTTTTGGGACACTGTAAAGTCCATGGAGAATAAGAGCACCTCCTCCCAGCTGCCCACTGCACTGAGGCTAGGAAACACTGTCACCATCGATAAATCTACAATAATCGAGAATTTCAACAAGCATTTTGCTACGGCTGGCCATGCTTTCCACCTGGCTACCACTACCACGGTCACCAGCTCTGCACCCTCCGCTGCAACTTGCCCATGCCCCCCCCGCTTCTCCTTCACACAAATTCAGACAGCTGATGTTCTGAAAGAGCTGCAAAATCTGGACCCCTACAAATCATCTGGGCTAGACAATCTGGACCCTTTCTTTCAAAAAATAGCAGCCGAAATTGTCCCAAACCCTATTACTAGCCTGTTCAACCTCTCTTTCGTAACGTCTGAGATCCCCAGAGATTGGAAAGCTGTCGCGGTCATCCCCCTCTTCAAAGGGGGTGACACTCTAGATCCAAACTGTTACAGACCTATATCCATCCTGCCCTGCCTTTCGAACGTTTTTGAAAGCCAAGTTAACAAACAGATCACCGACCATTTCGAATCCCACCGTACCTTCTCCGCTATGCAATCTGGTTTCCGAGCTGGTCATGGGTGCCACGCTCAAGGTCCTAAACGATATTATAACCGCAATCGATAATAGACAGTACTGTGCAGCCGTCTTCATCGACCTGGCCAAGGCTTTCGACTCTGTCAACCACCGCATTCTTATTGGCAGACTAAATAGCCTTGGTTTCTCAAATGACTGCCTCGCCTGGTTCACCAACTACTTCTCAGATAGAGTTCAATGTGTCAAATCGGAGGGCCTGTTGTCTGGACCTATGGCAGTCTCTATGGGGGTGGCACAGGGTTCAATTCTTGGGCCGACTCTTTTCTCCGTGTATATCAATGATATCGCTCTTGCTGCTGGTGACTCTCAGATCCACCTCTACGCAGACGACACCATTTTGTATACATCTGGCCCTTCATTGGACACTGTGTTAACAAACCTCCAAACGAGCTTCACTGCCATACAACACTCCTTCCGTAGCCTCCAACTGCTCTTAAACACTAGTAAAACTAAATGCATGCTCTTCAATCGAATGCTGCTGGCACCCGCCCACCCGACTAGAATCACTACTCTCGACGGGTCTGACCTAGAGTATGTGGACAACTACAAATACCTAGGTGTCTGGTTAGACTGTAAACTCTCCTTCCAGACTCACATTAAGCATCTCCAATCCAAAGTTAAATCTAGAATCGGCTTCCTATTTCGCAACAAAGCCTCCTTCACTCATGCTGCCAAACATGCCCTCGTAAAACTGACTATCCTACCGATCCTTGACTTCGGCGATGTCATTTACAAAATAGCCTCCAACACTCTACTCAGCAAATTGGATGTATTCTATCACAGTGCCATCTGTTTTGTCACCAAAGCCCCATATACTACCCACCACTGTGACCTGTACGCTCTCGTTGGCTGGCCCTCACTACATATTCGTCGCCAAACCCACTGGCTCCATGCCATCTATAAATCACTGCTAGGCAAATCCCCGCCTTATCTTAGTTCATTGGTCACCATAGCAACACCCACCCGTAGTATGCGCTCCAGCAGGTATATCTCACTGGTCATCCCCAAAGCCAACACCTCCTTTGGCCGCCATTCCTTCCAGTTCTCTGCTGCCAATGACTGGAACGAACTGCAAAAATCTCTGAAGCTGGAGACTCTTATCTCCCTCAATAACTTTAAGCATCAGTTGTCAGAGCACCAGATCACTGCACCTGTACACAGCCCATCTGAAATTAGCCCACCCAACTACCTCATCCCCATATTGTTATTTATTTTGCTCATTTGCACCCCAGTATCTCTATTTGCACATCATCTCTTGCACATCTATCATTCCAGTGTTAATACTAATTGTAATTATTTTGCACCATGGCCTATTTATTGCCTTACCTCCATAACTTGCTACATTTGCACACACTGTATATATATCTTCTGTTGTATTTTTGACTTTATGTTTTGTTTTACCCCATATGTAACTCTGTGTTGTTGTTTTTATCGCACTGCTTTGCTTTATCTTGGCCGGGTCGCAGTTGTAAATGAGAACTTGTTCTCCACTGGCTTCTTACCTGGTTAAATAAAGGCTTCTTACCTGGTTAAATAAAGGCTTCTTACCTGGTTAAATAAAGGCTTCTTACCTGGTTAAATAAAGGTGAAATTAAAAAAATCAGAAGCAAGGTCTTAACAAATGCTGCTCTGTGACATCACAGGGTAGGATTAAAAGTTTTTTTTTTTTAAACAGTGATTTTCAAAACCAGCAATGAGTTTCTAGCCAGAGGGGGGGTATTTTCCAGCTCCCCACGACACTACGAATCTCATAGTGTTTCAAAATCACTGTTTTAAAAACTTCATATTTGTTTCTTCAAAACATAGAAATGTGTAGTTTTCACATATGTAGACACTGGTATTGTGCTGGAGACAATGAACATGAGGTTGAACAGTGGTGGAGTTACCATTTTACGGTCTCCATCCAGCCCACTTTAATTAAATCCTCTCACCACATTTCATCACCCAGCAGAGTCTGTTCATTATGTAGTCTGTTCTGTTCATTATGTAGTCTGTTCTGTTCATTATGTAGTCTGTTCTGTTCATTATGTAGTCTGTTCTGTTCATTATGTAGTCTGTTCTGTTCATTATGTAGTCTGTTCTGTTCATTATGTAGTCTGTTCTGTTCATGATGTAGTCTGTTCATTATGTAGTCTGTTCTGTTCATTATGTAGTCTGTTCTGTTCATTATGTAGTCTGTTCATTATGTAGTCTGTTCTGTCATTATGTAGTCTGTTCTGTTCATTATGTAGTCTGTTCATTATGTAGTCTGTTCTGTTCATTATGTAGTCTGTTCTGTTCATTATGTAGTCTGTTCATTATGTAGTCTGTTCTGTTCATTATGTAGTCTGTTCTGTTCATTATGTAGTCTGTTCATTATGTAGTCTGTTCATTATGTAGTCTGTTGTGTTCATTATGTAGTCTGCTCATTATGTAGTCTGTTCTGTTCATTATGTAGTCTGTTCATTATGTAGTCTGTTCTGTTCATTATGTAGTCTGTTCTGTTCATTATGTAGTCTGTTCATTATGTAGTCTGTTCTGTTCATTATGTAGTCTGTTCTGTTCATTATGTAGTCTGTTCATTATGTAGTCTGTTCATTATGTAGTCTGTTCTGTTCATTATGTAGTCTGTTCTGTTCATTATGTAGTCTGTTCATTATGTAGTCTGTTCTGTTCATTATGTAGTCTGTTCTGTTCATTATGTAGTCTGTTCATTATGTAGTCTGTTCTGTTCATTATGTAGTCTGTTCTGTTCATTATGTAGTCTGTTCTGTTCATTATGTAGTCTGTTCTGTTCATTATGTAGTCTGTTCTGTTCATTATGTAGTCTGTTCTGTTCATGATGTAGTCTGTTCATTATGTAGTCTGTTCTGTTCATTATGTAGTCTGTTCTGTTCATTATGTAGTCTGTTCATTATGTAGTCTGTTCTGTTCATTATGTAGTCTGTTCTGTTCATTATGTAGTCTGTTCATTATGTAGTCTGTTCTGTTCATTATGTAGTCTGTTCTGTTCATTATGATGTCTGTTCATTATGTAGTCTGTTCTGTTCATTATGTAGTCTGTTCTGTTCATTATGTAGTCTGTTCATTATGTAGTCTGTTCATTATGTAGTCTGTTGTGTTCATTATGTAGTCTGCTCATTATGTAGTTTGTTCATTATGTAGTCTGTTCATTATGTACTTTTCTGTTCATTATTTTATTTCTGTTCTGTTCATTATGTAGTCTGTTCATTATGTAGTCTGTTCTGTTCATTATGTAGTCTGTTCTGTTCATTATGTAGTCTGTTCATTATGTAGTCTGTTCATTATGTAGTCTGTTCTGTTCATTATGTAGTCTGTTCTGTTCATTATGTAGTCTGTTCATTATGTAGTCTGTTCTGTTCATTATGTGTCTGTTCTGTTCATTATGTAGTCTGTTCATTATGTAGTCTGTTCTGTTCATTATGTAGTCTGTTCTGTTCATTATGTAGTCTGTTCTGTCATTATGTAGTCTGTTCTGTTCATTATGTAGTCTGTTCTGTTCATTATGTAGTCTGTTCTGTTCATGATGTAGTCTGTTCATTATGTAGTCTGTTCTGTTCATTATGTAGTCTGTTCTGTTCATTATGTAGTCTGTTCATTATGTAGTCTGTTCTGTTCATTATGTAGTCTGTTCTGTTCATTATGTAGTCTGTTCATTATGTAGTCTGTTCTGTTCATTATGTAGTCTGTTCTGTTCATTATGTAGTCTGTTCATTATGTAGTCTGTTCTGTTCATTATGTAGTCTGTTCTGTTCATTATGTAGTCTGTTCATTATGTAGTCTGTTCATTATGTAGTCTGTTGTGTTCATTATGTAGTCTGCTCATTATGTAGTCTGTTCTGTTCATTATGTAGTCTGTTCATTATGTAGTCTGTTCTGTTCATTATGTAGTCTGTTCTGTTCATTATGTAGTCTGTTCATTATGTAGTCTGTTCTGTTCATTATGTAGTCTGTTCTGTTCATTATGTAGTCTGTTCATTATGTAGTCTGTTCATTATGTAGTCTGTTCTGTTCATTATGTAGTCTGGTCTGTTCATTATGTAGTCTGTTCATTATGTAGTCTGTTCTGTTCATTATGTAGTCTGTTCTGTTCATTATGTAGTCTGTTCTGTTCATTATGTAGTCTGTTCTGTTCATTTTGTAGTCTGTTCTGTTCATTATGTAGTCTATTCATTATGTAGTCTGTTCTGTTCATTATGTAGTCTGTTCATTATGTAGTCTGTTCTGTTCATTGTGTAGTCTGTTCATTATGTAGTCTGTTCATTATGTAGTCTGTTCTGTTCATTATGTAGTCTGTTCATTATGTAGTCTGTTCATTATGTAGTCTGTTCATTATGTAGTCTGTTCTGTTCATTATGTAGTCTTTTCTGTTCATTATGTAGTCTGTTCATTATGTAGTCTGTTCATTATGTAGTCTGTTCTGTTCATTATGTAGTCTGTTCTGTTCATTATGTAGTCTGTTCATTATGTAGTCTGTTCTGTTCATTATGTAGTCTGTTCATTATGTAGTCTGTTCTGTTCATTATGTAGTCTGTTCTGTTCATTATGTAGTCTGTTCATTATGTAGTCTGTTCATTATGTAGTCTGTTCTGTTCATTATGTAGTCTATTCTGTTCATTATGTAGTCTGTTCATTATGTAGTCTGTTCTGTTCATTTTGTAGTCTGTTCATTATGTAGTCTGTTCTGTTCATTTTGTAGTCTGTTCATTATGTAGTCTGTTCTGTTCATTTTGTAGTCTGTTCATTATGTAGTCTGTTCTGTTCATTATGTAGTCTGTTCATTATGAAGTCTGTTCTGTTCATTATGTAGTCTGTTCATTATGTAGTCTGTTCTGTTCATTATGTAGTCTGTTCATATGTAGTCTGTTCTGTTCATTATGTAGTCTGTTCTGTTCATTATGTAGTCTGTTCATTATGTAATCTGTTCATTATGTAGTCTGATCATTATGTAGTCTGTTCATTATGTAGTCTGTTCTGTTCATTATGTAGTCTGTTCTGTTCATTATGTAGTCTGTTCTGTTCATTATGTAGTCTGATCTGTTCATTATGTAGTCTTTTCATTATGTAGTCTGTTCATTATGTAGTCTGATCTGTTCATTATGTAGTCTTTTCATTATGTAGTCTGTTCATTATGTAGTCTGTTCATTATGTAGTCTGTTCATTATGTAGTCTGATCATTATGTAGTCTGATCATTATGTAGTCTGTCTCTGTTCATCTTTCATGGTCCTCCTATTTCTATTCTAAGAGGTAATGATGCTTTACATTTTTACAGTGCCTTGCAAAAGTATTCATCCCCCTTAGCGTTTTTCCTATTTTGTTGCATTACAACCTGTAATTGAAATTTATTTTTATTTGGATTTCATGTAATGGACATACACAAAATAGTCCAAATTGGTGAAGTGAAATGAAAAAAATAAAAAATTCAAAAAACTCTACTAAATAAATGGTGGTGCGTGCATATGTATTCACCATGAAGACCAAGGAGCTCTCCAAACAGGTCAGGGACAAAGTTGTGGAGAAGTACAGATCAGGGTTGGGTTATAAAAAAATATCTGAAACTTTGAACATCCCACGGAGCACCATTAAATCCATTATTTAAAAATTGAAAGAATATGGCACCACAACAAACCTGCCAAGAGAGGGCCGCCTTCCAAAACTCACGGACCAGGCAAGGAGGGCATTAATCAGAGAGGCAACAAAGAGACCAAAGATAACCCTGAAGGAGCTGCAAGGCTCCACAGCAGAGATTGGGGTATCTGTCCATAAGACCACTTTAAGCCATACACTCCACAGAGCTGGGTTTTATGGAAGAGTGATCAGAAAAAAGCCAATAAGCAAACACGTTTGGTGTCTGCCAAAAGGCATGTGGGAGACTCCCCAAACATATGGAAAAGGGTACTCTGGTCAGATGAGACTAAAATTGACTTTTCTGGCCATCAAGGAAAATGCTACGTCTGGCGCAAACCGAACACCTCTCATCACCCCGAGAACACCATCGACAAGGACTGGGAAACTGGTCAGAATTGAAGGAATGATGGATGGCACTAAATACAGGGAAATTCTTGAGGGAAACCTGTTTCAGTCTTCCAGAGATTTGAGACTGGGACGGAGGTTCACCTTCCAGCAGGACAATGACCCTAAGCATACTGCTAAAGCAACACTCGAGTGGTTTAAGGGGAAACATTTACATGTCTTGGAATGGCCTAGTCAAAGTCCAGACCTCAATCCTATTGAGAATCTGTGGTATGACTTAAAGATTGCTGTACACCAGCGGAACCCATCCAACTTGAAGGAGCTGGAGCAATTTTGCCTTGAAGAATGGGCAGAAATCCCAGTGGCTAGATGTACCAAGCTTATAGAGACATACCCCAAGAGACTTGTAGCTGTAATTGCTGCAAAAGGTGGCTCTACAAAGTATTGACTTTGGGGGGGTGAATAGTTATGCACGCTCAAGTTTTCTTGTTTGTTTCACAAGAAACATATTTTGCGTCTTCAAAGTGGTAGGCATGTTGTGTAAATCAAATGATACAAACCCCCCAAAAATCCATTTTAATTCCAGGTTGTAAGGCAACAAAATAGGAAAAATGCCAAGGGGGTTGAATACTTTCGCTAGCCACTGTATATGATTTTCTCTGTCTCTGCTCTCCCCTGGCACTCTTAGGCTTGTTGGAAGAGGAAATCGATCTTGTTTTACTTTTAAAGATGCAGTCCTCAGTCTTTCTGTCTGTCCTACAGTAAAGGCTGTAACATTACTCGTTGTAAATTAATGCTTTTGCAGACACAAAATGCATTTTGGCCATGCATGTTTCTCTGTGTCTGCTCTGTCCTGTCACTCTTCGTGGCATTGTTTTGTTTTAAAGCTAATTTTAAAAATGTGTCTGTCTGCTTAATATGGCCCTAACCTTGCTGTTTTGTCCACTGGGAATGTTTGTAGACATAAACAGAGATTGAGGAGCTGCTTTAAAATGTGTCTGTCCTGATTATTCTGTGTCTCTCACTCTCTTCTCCCTCTCTACCCACTCTCTTCTCCCTCTCTCCTCCCCCTCTCTACCCACTCTCTTCTCCCCCTCTCTTCTCCCTCTCTACTCTCTCTCTTCTCCCTCTCTCCTCCCCCTCTCTACCCTCTCTTCTCCCTCTCTCTTCTCCCTCTCTCTTCTCCCTCTCTACCCTCTCTCTTCTCCCTCTCTCTTCTTCCCCTCTCTTCCCCCCTCTACCCTCTTTCTTCCCCCTCTCTTCCCCCTCTCTCTTCTCCCTTTCTCTTCTCCCTCTCTCTTCTCCCTCTCTCTTCTCCCTCTCTACCCTCTCTCTTCTCCCTCTCTCTTCTCCCTCTCTCTTCTCCCTCTCTACCCTCTCTATTCTCCCTCTCCTCCCCCTCTCTCTTCTCCCTCTCCTCCCTTCCTCTCCCTGCTCTCTCCCTCTGCAGGAAGGAGTTCTGTGAGCTGTGTATGGCTAAAGACAGACAGACCAACAAAGTCTTTGTCTGTAAGAAGTTTCTCAAGAAGGACGGGAGGAAAGTACGCAAGGCTGCCAAGAATGAAATCCTGATCCTCAAAATGTACGTGATCTCTTGATGAACAGAGAGACATACCCACTCTGTTTAAATGAGTCTTTCCTCATGTACTGTATCTGAGTAGAAGTTGAAATTGTAGCAGCTAAAAACAGAACATTTAAAGCTATCACTGAGGGTATAACTACTGAGGCCCACTTGCGTCAGACAGTTTTTGCATCTCAGTGTTCTACAATGACGACAGGGGGTCCTTCCAGACACTTCGTTTTCCGGGTCTTCATTTGAAGGAACAAACCAGCAGTCACTGCAGGGTACTTCCTGATTCAGTCACTTTCTGTGTGCACCCCTTTTGATTTGAACAAAACCTTTCCTAGATGTTTGCCCATGGTGGAAGAGGTCAGAAAGTGACTTTTTGGACCTGAATGCCAAAACTTTAAGTAGATAGAGGTGCTCAAAGTTGACCCATTTTGCATACCCCACCCTACCATGAGACATCAGTACTGGAAAAGATAAATGGTTGAGTTTGATAACATTGGAAAGCTTACAAACAGGGTTGTCAAACTATTTTATGATTTCTTGAAAAAATAGTTTATAACATAATTGTCATTTTTTTATGCTTTAATGTCAATTATCAACAAAGAAATCTAATGTTCACAAATGTTGTAGCTTAGACCCTATTTTACAGTGTTTGTGTTGTGCCATCGGCTGTTGAATACAGGGTGGGTGTCATTTCAGTCACAGAAAAATTATCAATAGAATGGACCTAACCCTTCAGACCACATAGCTGGACCACCGTTGACAGGGCAACACACTGGCTAAACACCAAAACAAAACGTATTGACTGCCCACCCTTGAAAGACAATCGGCAACTAAGTTGTCCTTACCACGGACATGTCTGATTTCAAAGGGGAAACTCCTGCAATATCTGTAGTAACTTTCCTCTCGTGATTTTCCTCAGTGGAATATGTTTGATTGGGGCAGAGTCAACGTCAACGTCATGCTCTACATTTTACATTTACGTCATTTAGCAGACGCTCTTATCCAGAGCGACTTACAGTTAGTGAATACATATTTTTTTTTTTTTATACTGGCCCCCCATGGGAATCGAACCCACAACCCTGGCGTTGCAAACGCCATGCTCTTTCAACTGAGCTACATCCCTGCCGGCCATTCCCTCCCCTACCCTGGACGACGCTGGGCCAATTGTGCGCCGCCCATGAGTCTCCCGGTCGCGGCCGGCTGCGACAGAGCCTGGATTCGAACCAGGATCTCTAGTGGCACAGTTAGCACTGCGATGCAGTGCCTTAGACCACTGCGCCACTCAGGAGCTCAGGAGCTCTAGTACGTTTGTCTGAGTTGGCACATCTGATAATAAACCCTGATATTCTAAAAGCAGTGCAACAATGTCGTGTGGAGACAAGTGTGCCAAAAAGCCATCAAGGTTTTCTAGAATCTCTGAGTTACTCAACTGTCCAACCGTCACAGGGTGTATTGGACTTTCCTCATACTCTTGAGGAAGACTATAGTCAACGGTGACAGCAGTGGCCACAGACCAGAACATCAATACCGGTTTCCACCGACTTCGCCGCCCGATCGTAACGACATGTTGACACAGCCGGGTTTTTCTCCTGCTCTCTGGTGTGGCGATGATGTAATCCAGATGACCTCTTTCTTTTTAATATGGAGGTAAGGGCCTGCAACGGTGACCCCAAAACGGGCAACGAAACCAGGACTTGGTCACCTTGGGCCTTCTGACTTTAATTTTCGTTTGCGTCTTCTCCAGATTCTCGCTGGCAAACTGTATTTTTAAGGCGTCGCCCTGCAACAACCTCTCTCTCAGCAAGCTCAAAGGACCTCTGACGTGATGTCCAAACACAGGCTCATTCGGACTAAAACCGAGAGATTCCTGAACAACCTCCCGCGCTGCAAACCAGCACAAGAGGGACCCCTTCATCTTTCTCAAACTCAGAAAGCAGTAAGCTCTCAACATGGACTTCAAAGTCTGATGAAATCGCTCAATAGCACCTTGAGACTCTGGGTGGTAGGCACTAGAGGGGCAGTGGATTACACCTGACTGTTGTAGCACTTGCTGGAAGACCTTTGACATGAAATTCGAACCTTGGTCCGACTGCACTACCTGCAGAAGTCCAAACGTTGAAAGAATTTCACCAGGGCAATACTGGGAGCTGTGGTTATCGTCAGTGGTATGGCCTCGGGGAAATGAGTGGCAGCTCACAAAATGGTCAAGAGAAACTGGTTACCACTCTTGGCTTTGGGCAAAGGACCAACACAGTCCACCAGAACCCTGCTGAAAAGTTTGTCAAAAGCAGGAATAGGCTGCAAAGATGCAACCGGTACAGCTCGGTTCGGTTTACCCACCCGCTGGCAAACATATCAGGATTTACAGTAAGACACGACATCCGGCTTCACACCAGGCCAGAAGAAGTTACGGTTGATACGGTCATACGTCTTTTTGACCCCAAGATGGCCAAGATGGCCTGCCATACTACCATCGTAAGCCAACCTCAGTATCTCTTGTCGAAGCATAACTGGACCGACAATCGTCTTGTCTAGAAGTGGCGGGAGAATGCCATTTCCTCATTAGAACACCATCTCTGTCAAAATAATCCACACGAACTTCATCAAACTCCTCCTCTGGATGTATCTTTACTGTGTTCAGCAATCAGCTGCTTCAAAGGGAGGTCAACTCAGGAGTTTTACCGAAATCAGGATCACCCATAAACGTCTCAGACAGATCGACTATGGTGGGATCTCTGACATCCTCCTCAACACTAGACTTGCTCCCGGTGACTTTCTTAGACATAGCACTTGTAACGGTACATGCTGGGTGGTAAGGGTAGGTAACAACACATCTGCCATCCTCAACACAGGGGCCCCTCAGGGGTGCGTGCTCAGTCCCCTCCTGTACTCCCTGTTCACTCATGACTGCATGGCCAGGCACGACTCCAAAACCATCATTAAGTTTGCCGATGACACAACAGTGGTAGGCCTGATCACCGACAACGACGAGACAGCCTATAGGGAGGAGGTCAGGGACCTGGCCATGTGGTGCCAGGACAACAACCTCTCCCTCAACATGATCAAGACAAATGAGATGATTGTGGACTACAGGAAAAAGAAGAGGACCGAGCACGCCCCCATTCTCATCGACGGGGCTGTAGTGGAGCAGTTTGACAGCTTCAAGTTCCTTGGTGTCCACATCACCAACAAACTAACATGGTCCAAGCACACCAAGACAGTCATGAAGAGGGCATGACAAAACCTATTCCCCCTAAGGAGACTGAAAAGATTTGGCATGGGTCCTCAGATCCTCAAAAGGTTCTACAGCTGCACCATCGAGAGCATCCTGACTGGTTGCATCACTGCCTGGTATGGCAACTGCTCGGCCTCCGACCGCAAGGCACTACAGAGGGTAGTGCGTATGGCCCAGTACATCACTGGGGCCAAGCTTCCTGCCATCCAGGACCTCTATACCAGGTGGTGTCAGAGGAAGGCCCTAAAAATTGTCAAAGACTCCAGCCACCCTAGTCATAGACTGTTCTCTCTGCTACCAGACGGCAAGCGATACCGGAGTGCCAAGTCTAGGTCCAAAAGACTTCTCAACAGCTTCTACCCCCAAGCCATAAGACTCCTGAACAGCTAATCAAATGGCTACTCAGACTATTCGCATTGCCCCCCACCCCCTCTTTTACGCTGCTGCTACTCTCTGTTTAGTATCTATGCATAGTCACTTTAATAACTCTACCTACATCTACATATTACCTCAATTACCTTGACTAACCGGTGCCCCCGCACATTGACTCTGTGACTTTTGTTGTATTCTTTCTTAAAATTGTATTGTTGATTAAGGGCTTGTAAGTAAGCATTTCACTGTAACGTCTACACCTGTTGTATTCAGCGCATGTGACAAATAACATTTGATTTGATGATTTTTGATTTGGGAACACTCTAGGGTACTTTACTGATAACCCATCGGGTTCCTCTACTCTGGGAACACTCTAGGGTACTTTACTGATAACCCATCGGGTTCCTCTACTCTGGGAACACTCTAGGGTACTTTACTGATAACCCATCGGGTTCCTCTACTCTGGGAACACTCTAGGGTACTTTACTGATAACCCATCGGGTTCCTCTACTCTGGGAACACTCTAGGGTACTTTACTGATAACCCATCGGGTTCCTCTACTCTGGGAACACTCTAGGGTACTTTACTGATAACCCATCGGGTTCCCCTACTCTGGGAACACTCTAGGGTACTTTACTGATAACCCATCAGGTTCCTCTGCTCTGGGAACACTCTAGGGTACTTTACTGATAACCCATCGGGTTCCTCTACTCTGGGAACACTCTAGGGTACTTTACTGATAACCCATCGGGTTCCTCTACTCTGGGAACACGCTAGGGTACTTTACTGATAACCCATCAGGTTCCTCTACTCTGGGAACACTCTAGGGTACTTTACTGATAACCCATCAGGTTCCTCTACTCTGGGTTCCTAACACGCTGGGAACACTCTAGGGTACTTTACTGATAACCCATCAGGTTCCTCTACTCTGGGTTCCTAACACGCTGGGAACACTCTAGGGTACTTTACTGATAACCCATCGGGTTCCTCTACTCTGGGAACACTCTAGGGTACTTTACTGATAACCCATCAGGTTCCTCTACTCTGGGAACACTCTAGGGTACTTTACTGATAACCCATCGGGTTCCTCTACTCTGGGAACACTCTAGGGTACTTTACTGATCACCCATCAGGTTCCTCTACTCTGGGAACACTCTAGGGTACTTTACTGATAACCCATCGGGTTCCTCTACTCTGGGAACACTCTAGGGTACTTTACTGATAACCCATCGGGTTCCTCTACTCTGGGAACACTCTAGGGTACTTTACTGATAACCCATCGGGTTCCTCTACTCTGGGAACACTCTAGGGTACTTTACTGATAACCCATCGGGTTCCTCTACTCTGGGAACACTCTAGGGTACTTTACTGATAACCCATCGGGTTCCTCTACTCTGGGTTCCTTACACACGACAGGA